ACTTCCTCTGTTTCATATTTTGCATCCAGCTGTTAAAATCATGGGACTTGGCCAGACCTGCAGTAAAATGAGGGTGTACTGACTTTGTATATATCTGGAAACATGTCTAAATATTAGAGAAACATATCAGAATAAGTGCAAAAAACTAAAATATGCGTTTACTCTGTGACATGGTTAAAGAGAAATGAAGCTTCCTTCATTGAATCCCATTAAGTAATATGTTAATGATCTATTACCAACTGAAACATATTTAATCTCAATAACTGTGGAAACACAAAATGAATAGCTTAATGCAAAATAAACAAAATTGAAGAAGAGAAAAATTTGACAGAATTGATACCAGTAATCAAGTGGTTATGTGAATTGTATACCAAATAATTTTCCATATTAAATTATTCATGCAACATATTTGAATTTACTATATTTATATATAGAAATACAACATATACATACACATATGTTCAGAACATAGCAATTAATTTATTTTCCTATACTTAATATTTCTAACAAAGAAGTGCCAAGCATAGTTTTAGAAAGATGTAGTCATTTTACATTATTTCTGTGACCCTTTGTCGATATATATTTCATTATGTTTAAAAACTCTAATTTTCACCCTTAAAATACTGATTGCAAAAACACCTTAAAAACCTAGCAGCTATTAGATTTAGAAACTGTAAACCCAGATTGCTAATCTTAAAAATCGAAACAACGCAAAACAGCCCACTTTTGTCTGGATGTAATGTTCCTCTCATTCAACTGCCTCCAGAGATGCACACAAAATGGCACTTTCTGGGGACCACTGCAAATGTAAATCCTAAACCCCAGTTATCAACACTATTTGAGATTGTTTAGTAATCATACATTAACACATCATTTTGAGTGCCTATCACTTCATCCACTAAGTAGACACCAATCGTCTAAGACATGTCCGAATCAGACAACATGGTCTGGTAAGGACACCAAGAGCTTCCCTAGTCCAAGCATCCCTCTTGGAACCTGAAAGATTATAGCTTGATATTTCTTTGGAGGGTTAGTCTGTAGATACCCAAAGAGACAAAATGAACAAAGTGAACCCCACTACTGGCTGCATTTGAGGTGGGTAGGAAAAAGAGGAAATAGGAAATATTAGGGCTTTTGTAGGTAGGAGGTCGACATGAATCAAAAGGATCAGGTTTCAAAGGTAGAAAGGTTTCACAACATGGTGAATTAAGAAGCAAGTCATAAATAGAACTTTGAGTACTACATTGAATAGATATGGAGAGTGGACAGCCTTGCCTTGCTCCTCATTTTAGTTGAATTGCTTTGAGTTTCTCTCCATTTAATTTCATGTTGGATGCTGGCTTGCTGTATATTTCCTTTATTATGTTTAGATAAGTTTCTTGTATGCCTGATCTCTCTAAGAACACATGCTAGATCTTGTCAAAGCCTTTTTCAGCATCTAGTGAGATAATCATGTGTTTTTTCCTTTTAGTTTGTTTATATGTTGAATTATATTGACAGATTTTCTTATGTTGTGTCATCCTTGTGTGTCTGCAATGAAGCCTACTTGATCATAGTGGATGACTTTTTTGATGTGTTCTTGCATTTAGTTTACTGATATTTTATTGAGTATTCTTGGGTCAATATTCATGAGGGAGATTGGTCAGTAATTCTGTTTGTGTGGTTTGGGTATGAAGATACCTTAACCTCATAAAAAAAGTTTGAAATGTTCTTTCTGTTTCTACTGTGTGAAATAATTTGAGGAGTAATGGTATTAGTTCTACTTTGAAATTTTGGTAGAATTCTGAGTAGAAACCATCTGATCCTGGGTGTTTTTGGACGTGAGACTTTAATGATTGCTTCTTTTTCTGTAGGGGTTATAGGTCTATTTAAAGTGTTTTTCTGGAGTTGATTTAATTTTGGTATGTTTTATCTATCAAATAATTCAATAAAATATGGAGTAGAGATCTACACAGAATTAAAAACAGAAGAATCTCAAATGACTCAATATCTGGAGTCATCAGGGGAAATGAAAATCAAAACAACTCTGAGATACCATCTTACACCTCTTAGAATGGCTAAGACCAAACACTCCTTCACTGCTGATGGGAGTGCAAACTTGTTCAGTGTATGGGAATTTCTTAAGAAATTGAGAATCAATCTACCTTAAGACCCAGTAATACAGCTCTTGGGCATACAACCAAAGGATGCTTAATCATACAATAAGGATACTTGTTCGTAGCAAAATTATTCATAATAGCCAGGACCTGGGAACAGCCTAGATGCCCCTCAACCAAAGAATGGATAAAGAAAATGTAGTATATATAAACACAATGGACTATTACTAATCTGTAAAAAACAAAAACATCATGAAATATGCACGCCAATGAATGGAATAAGCAAAAATTCATCCTGAGTGATGTGACCCAAACCCAGAAAGACAAACATGAACCTTCTTTCAGTAATTGATGGAAGGAAATGCAGGGATCCACAGCCAAGCTCTGTGCTGAGCTCCAGGAGTCCAGTTAAAGAGAAGGAGGAGGGATTATATGAGCCAGGGGCATCAAGATCATGATGGGGAAACTCACAGAGACGGCTGATTTGAGCATGTGGGAGCTCATGGACTATGGCCAGAACTAGGTCGTCTGCATGTGGGTAACTTTGTATAACTCAGTCTGATTTTGGTAACCCTAGCAGTGGGACCAGGATCCTGGTGCATGAGCTGGCTTCATTGAGCCCATTCCCTATGGTGGAATATTTTTCTCAGCCTTGATACAGGGAGGAAGGGCTTGGTCCTGCCTCATCTTGATGTGTCAGAATTTGTCGACCTCCCATAGGAGCCCTTACCCTTTCTGTGGAATGGATGGAGGGTGGGATGGGGAAAGATGGGGGGGAGCAGGAGGAGGGGAGGGAGAGGGAACTATGGTTGGTATGTACAATGAATAAAAAAAAGAGAAAAAAGAACAAAGTCATAACCTATAATTTTTAACTTTTTCACTCTTGTTTTATTGAACAATGTTCAGTATTACTGAGATGCTAGATAGAAGTATGTGTAGTCTAAAGGAAACCATTAACACTTGGGCACTAGGGGAAAAAGTAATTGACACATGAAACTTTCCATCAAATTTTGAGGTTGCATGGAAATCACTCACCACAGTCCATTTCCATGTAGAAAATCCGTGTGACCCTAAGACGTCAGATTCAATCCTACCAAGACCCTATATTGACACGTCCATTTCAGATTCTACCACCATGTATTAGTTGTTTGATAAAGGTACTGAATTCCAGTACTGATACTATAGACATCATCTGTGACCCTCTTGGGAAACTATTCTCAGCTACCCTGTCCACATGTACTCATCTTCAGAAGCAGAAGGAACTCACTAGTCAAGTATATTAGTGTTCACAAATCTTTTCCAGCCCTGGTGTTGTTTAGCCTGGCAACACAGTGAAGAATCTCATGAAGTCATTTCTCTTGAGTTACAGTCAAAAGAAACAAAATGAAAACCAGCCATTAAGTATATTGTGCTTGACTTCTGAGGCAACTCCAATATGTTAATATTAATCTTTCCTTCAGCTTCAATGTAAATACTGATTTTTATTTTTTTTATTTTGTGAATGTGATAGACTGAAAGGAATGCATAGAGTAAGGGGAGCAAACCTATATGACTAGCTGTTATTCAGACTAATGATCATTTAGAAACAATCAGGAGATTTAAATGAAATTTACCATTGTATCACATATAAGCAGCAATGTTTAATGAAAGCTGTTTTGGTTATTTTTTTATTGTTTCTCACTTTGTTTCATTTTTCTGATCCTGATAGCAAAGGTATTTTAGGTAACTAAATGGCTGATATCAGTGGATTTAACTTTGTACCTCATCCCAGCATATTCTGATGCTTATATTTTAGTGCTTAAAACTTTTTCCATTGTATATTTCTATGCATCTTCCAGAAATAGTAAATGTCTTTCTGGGGAGAAAAACTGGCAGCATTATTGTAGTTTTCAGAAGAAACTGACGCAGTTCATCCGTACATATAGAGAGACATGCTGTAGGGAGGAGACCCACACAGTTGTCACTATCAATCTAACTTATTACAACTTACTACAATAAGTTTGCCATTTCATCATCATCTAATGTTCATCATCAGGAAAGCAGCCCCACAGTTAACAAAAAGAACAAGGGGAACTATTCACATAGGAGAATCCTGAAAGTACATAACACACACCCTGGGCACAGACAGATGCATTATGGGATATAGTATTTATATTAAGCATAGCAGAAAACTCTATATCCATTATTCCTCCAGGGAACTGCTATGTGCTGCTTCTTATTGCTAAATTCACTAAAAAAACAAGAATAACATGCGTTTGATTTTTGGTAATTTATTGTATCTAGTGTTATCCAAAAGCAAGCAATTAAACTCAAAGTACCCCAAAAACTATATATGTGTGTGTGTGTGTTTATTTATATATATTCAACTTTAAGGAGAATTGTGTAGCTGCATTTTTGTACATAGTGAGATCAAAAGATGGAGAAGACAAGTTAGCCACAGATTTGTTGACTTAATTCTTGCAGGATGAAATGCATACTTTAGAGGAAAATGATTCTTCAACAGTGTTTTCACTTCTCCTATTCCTAAGCTTCTTAAACTATAGGAGGAATGACATCATTTCACATAGAACATACAGCATTTGGTACTCATAAATGTAGAAGGAAATTGTTCTGTTTTGTTCAGTACCTAGTTTATATAGACTCCATATCCTTAAATAGCACATATATGCAAATGTAAGAGCAACCAAACGGGTAAAATAAACTTCTTACTCTCCTTTTTATATTTACATAGCATGCCTTATATTAAGTTGACTAAATCCTATCATTGATCTACTTGCTAAAATTTGTTTAGGAAATTTGACTGTATAAAATTATTTGTTTTTTTTTATTCCAGGAAAATAATTTAACTCAGTGGAACAAAGCTTGGGCTCACATTTGTTTTCTTGTTTTTTTTTTTTCCTGCAGATTTTCTTTTCTGTTTGCGTTGCTTTTTGGGGAGTCAGAAGCATGAGACAATTCACCACTGGCTCTTGGAAATAAACCTACTTACTACAAAGAGGTCTCTCAATCCTATCAGGTGCCCATGGCATGGCACTACTACATAAAGATCGTTATCTTAAATACTGCCTACGGGAGGTACACGCATAATGAAAAATCAAAGTACTTATTTACCTATGCTTCCCACATTCATTTCTCTGCAAAAATTAAAGTGAATTATACTGTTTGCTCTCACTAAAAGCCAAGTTATTTTATATACATTGAGGCTGTGTTTGCTTTTCTTCTCTGTGGCAATGATTATAGAAAGGAAAGTGTGGGCTGAAAATAACAGAATGAAAATTACATTTGTCTTGCTTGATTTGACAACCTTTTCTTTAACATTTTCTAAAACTATGCTTAAATAAATCTCTGTAGTCTTTAGAATGTGTTGGAGTCTATGTGAGCTGGCATTTGACTTTGTAAACTAATGATCTATCTGTATTGCACATTACATAAAAAGAAATCAATGAGATGGAAATGATTAGAATTGGAAAGAATTACTTTGTTCAAAATGTTAGTTTATAATATATACTTGCGAAATTTTGGGTCAACTTGTTTCAGCGGCTTGAGGAGTATATTATAATTCATGCTCTCTAAAATTTACATAATACTGTTAATAAAAGTGTCTGAACGGAAGGGACAAAAGTGGATTGTGTATACTGCTTACTGAAATGTTAAAAGTCTGTTGTATGTTCCATTTGGAAAGAATTGTCAAAGATAAGAACTAAGTTCAGAAAAAGATTGGAAAAAGGTCTTTAAAAATAAGAACTGTTCCCTTCCTTCAATATTTTTTAGAAAATTTTCAAGTGACAATTTTAACAGTCCACATCAAAGGCACTAATCTTCATAGTGAGGTTCATTAGTCTTTGTCAGCATGTATCACTGAATGAAGAAGACTGACGATAGTTGCTTAACCTCATTTTAAGGAGCAGTCAGAGAATAGGCTGCAGGAGTCTGTGTGTATTCATGGGACTGAGTGGAAGCACATTCGCTTTTCAAGCTGCAACAGCAGAAGAAAATTAACTTTGCATGATGGAAATATTAACAATTATATCTCAAGCGTCAGAAGTGGGTTTGGCTTTACTTCATTCAGTTTTTATACTTCTTAATTACACACAGGATTTGAGCAAATTCTGGGGTCAATAACAATTATGAAATCCTACTTTGGTTCCTCATTAATAGGGATTGAGTCACCTCACAGGTATAGACCTACCTTGCAGGAGGGAGCCCTCTGCTGGCTTGAAACTTTAATGTATCACTAAAATTCTTGAGGTGCATATTATATATTCCCAAGAATTTCTGTACTACAATTTACATCATTCACTAATGGAAAGAAAATAGAATCTTTATTGAATCTCAAATATTTATTTAGCATATCAGAATAGTTTTATGATGGGGAAATACTTGACTAGATATGAATATATAGGGGTAGTTTAAAATGTGTTTAATCATGAAAATAATTCATGTGTAATTCAGATTTCCTTGAGTAAACTCACATGTATTTGTTTTCCCTTTTAAACCTTAATATTTTCACTATGACTTAGATAATTTTCTTTTGGAAATATAGGTATTATAAAGTCACAAATTTCCAAGTCTCTGAATATGGATGTGGTATCCCAGATAGGGTATGTGCCTACGGCCTCTGTGCATGAGACAGGACATTTTCTCACCTTCAACCTTGCTAATTTTTCAGTCTTATTTTCTCTGGTGAGCACTAATGTGTGATGACAGATCATGCAGCTCTTAGTAATATCGTAAATTGATCTTGAATAATTCCATGTAATTTATGCTGACTTTTCACTGGAAAGACTTTAATTGTCCCCACTTTTCTCCCTCAGGAAAACAGCACTAAAAATAGGGCTTGTCAATTACCCATTTGGGATGGAAAGATTCACAGTGCCTTCACAATAATCATGGGGACACTCAATCCCACTAATCTACCAAAAGGGTCAAAATGTGCATTTGTTTATAGGGCATAAATCTGTTAGACATATTTAATTAAACCTCTAAATTATTGCAGAAACAGGTACTGCAATAACTATTTTGCAGAACTCTGGGGGAGTTAAATCACTTTTCCAAGGCCATCATGGGACACAGTTGGCATTCTTTTTTAAAAATCTCTAGATTCTAATATCAAAGACTGTAACACTCCTCCATTTCCTGCTATAAAGTAATCAGAGCAAAACTCAAGTATTATAGGCTCAGAACTTCATGTGCAGAGTATGCTATTACTTTTCAATTTGATGCTCCTATTTTAAAAAAAAGTTTGGGGGAGAATTTTTCTGTAGTAATGTAGGTGGTATATGAGTCCTGGGTTTTTAAAGCTTGCAAGATTGGTGTATAATTAGGTTTCTGTTTATGTCATAAACACCATAACCAAAAGTAACTTGGGGAAGAAAGGATTTATTTCAGCTTACACTTTCAGGGAACAGTCCATTATCAAGGAGAAGTAAGGTTGGAGCTGAAGTAGATCATAAAACAATGCTGCTCACTGGTTTGTTCATGTTGCTTATTTAGTCTGCTCTTATACAACACAGCATAGCCTGCTAAGTGGTAACACTCCTCACAGTGGGCTGTGCCTTACTATAGAAACTATTAATCAAGAAAATGCTGCAGAATATTCTGTACAGATAATCTGATGAAGACATTTTTTAATTGAGGATACTCTATCCAGAATTCCCTGGCTTGTGTCATGTAAACACAAAAATATAACCTTGTTTTATTGATAAGTTTATCATAGGCAAAAAGATGTCCATCCCTTTTCTTACTATATCTTTTTTTTGCTAGAATTTTTCATTCATATTCTTTTGACTAGTTAACTAAATCTTATTTGATAAATATAACCTAATCTTCACAAGACAATGCAATTTGGCATATGTGACTCTAATTACATTCAGAGATTCAACTGGCCACCAAACTGACTGAGCCCTCCTTATTATTGGCATTCCTAGGTTACATTACTGTTTATTAGATTTGCCAAAATCTTGCTCCATTGTAACATAATTTAACTGGTTATGATGAATCTACAATGGAAATAATGAGAGACATTCTATAACATTAGTATGCATTTTGGTCTAAGGTGATACAATCTAATAAGCAGATTGGCAATAGCCAGTATCCAAGTCCTTTTCTCTTTCCTACTCCCTAATTTCTCAAAACCTCCAAGTAAGATGAAAAGTATACCAAGAACCCTGGCTTCCAGAATCTTAAAATAATTTTCATGTTATGATTCTCAGGCACTCTAAGGAAGCAAATAATCACTAACCCTGCCATCAAGGTAAGAAATTGACAATATTGTATTCATAATCAGAGTATATTATTTTTCAATCTCATTCTGTTCTTCCTTGTTACCAACATCATAGCAACTTAGCCTCTCTCCTCACAAAACACATGATTAGAAGGGATTACTGTCAAAATAGAATAGCTTTCCATTGTTGTAGTAAGCATCCGTTCTCTGTCAGGATTTAATCCCTACTCCATGAGCTGAAAACTATGCCTGACATTTCTCAGAAGGCCAAGAACCTCCCACTAGATAGGCTAGGGCCTAGGAAAAAACCAGGCACCATTCTTCTGCTAAAGGAACATGAAAATAAGATGACTTCTGTCACCATTCTGCTGTTAACATAGAGCAATGCCTTACTTAGTCATCATTAGACAGGCTTCCTCCTGTTGCACATGGGAACTAATGTAGAGACCTACATCTGGACAATGTCCAGACAGAGAGATTTGGAAAACTCAGTCCTGAATGGGATGTCTTCACCAAACTCCTCCTGCCATGGCCCAGAAAGTTCTGCTAAAGAGCAAGGAGAAAGACTGTAAGAGCCAGAGGTGATGCATGATTCCACAGAAACAGTGTCTTCCAGATACAATAAGATTGCCACACATATGACCTCATTATGGCAGCATCCATGGGACCTGTGCAGCCCTAAGTTAGATGGGATCCTAGAGCTGAAAGGGGGAAGTAGACATGCTATATCATCCTTAAGGAAGAAGATATGTCCAATTCGCATCTGTTTGCAATGAAAAATATTAGTGTTCTGCAGTTGAGTCTCCCTAAATATTTTAACCATGTACAGCAGTAGATGGCCAACACAAAATCAGCTCAATAGTATTTTTGTAGAGTTTTTTGTCTCATATTGCTTTATTTGGGCATTTTTTTCTTGTCTTATTAATAGTTTGCTTCTATATAAGGTTTCTGATTTTATGTTTTAATGTTTGTGTGTACGTACCTTTTTTAAATTATGTTTATTTGTTTACACTTTTTGTTTGTTTCCTAAAGAGAGAGGAAATGAAGGCATAACATGGGTCAGTGGGGAGGTGGGAAGGATCTTAAGGTGTTATAGCAAGGGAAAACCAAAATAAGAACATATTATATTAAAAGTAATTTCAATAAAGTTGCAAAAAATAAATTATAAAAATAAGATCACTTAAAATAAATAAATAAATAAAAATAACATGGTTCTTTCTTCTGTGTTAGGTGTCTTGAAATTACATTGCTAACATGCCATTTAGCCCATCCTTTCCATCCACTGCTGGCTTCTGGAATCCATGATTATAAGCACATTCCTTTAACATACTTTGGCATTTTGCTATCAATAAGCATAAAGTTAGATTTATATTCATACTTGCACTGAAGAAAGTGTTTACATTTTTACACAATAATTATATATGCTCTCCTTTTTCTTTTAGTCACGTCAGCACCAGGGATCAAATACTGGGTGGGACTATATGGTGCTAGACAGATGCCCTTATGTAGATCATTCTAGAAATGTAAATGGATGATGAGAACATTCATTTGAATCAAAATAAGCCTACATTAGGCTTCAGAACAATGTATTGGTAAGCTATATCCACAATCTAGTATTGAGCGTTCATATAAGCTGTCTAGAATGTAGTGTGAGAGAGATCTTCTCTTCTTAGAATGAGCAAGGTACTAGGTTCTAATTCCAGTATGGCAGGGAGGCAGAAAAAGTTCTCTAAGTAATAATTCTATGGTATAAAGTAGTATTTCTGTTATAGCAAGGAGGTTAACTAAGATAAGTGATGGTGATTCAGCAATTATGGATGTTTTAGAATGCCACACAGGGGAGGAATCATTGAAAACCTTCATGAATATGTAGAAGTCACACATGTTTTAACATAGAATTATTTTACATGAACTTTTTAAAGAAATTAATGCAGAAAGTTTAACAGCAGGGGACGTTTCAGGAAGATGAGGAATAACAAGCTAATGGACTAGAGAAGGGTATATGGTCAAGAAATATGACCATAGCACCTGCTTCCATTTATAGTTTTCATTTTAATTAAGTGCCATTGGTAGAAACATTAGAACATACTGCTTTAGGTTTTGCAAATGCCATTTAGTATTTTCAGTTTCTGGAATATTCTCTTGTATTAATGTGAGAAATTCAGTAAAGAATGTTCTGCCTTTCACACACATATAACTACCTTTAACACATATATAACATATATAATTATAAAACATTTTCATTAAAATGGATATTGCATCTAGTCTAGACAAAATGCATCTTGCACTTCCCAGTTAGAATTAGAATCCAGCATGAATTTCAACTCACAAGGAAAATAATACATGTCATAACAATCTGTGTCTAAGAATGGTTGATTATTCCTAGCTA